CCCCCCCCCCCCCCCCCCTCTCCCAACTAAAAAGCAAATTTACATAGGCACTTTTTAGAGGACTGGTCTTTCTAGGTTTTCTTCGTGCGGTTCCGCGTTACTTGGGTAGGGTATTGCGCTCCCTATATATTCAGCTTTCAGGTTTGAGTAGGTCCAAATTCAGAAGCTGAACGATGCCGATGTGAGTTGCCTTGGTTCAGGCGTGAGTGGAGCTTGAAATGGGATGTCTGCCACATACTCTTACATTGCCTCGCCTCCTGCGCTGCACGCTGAGTCTTCCGAGTGGGCACCATTACCGTAGACCGCAACTCTAGAGCCTAAACCTTTAAACCCCTGAGGCCAACACTAAGGATCCAAATAGCCAAATGTAGGCAGTATTTGTAGACTTTGAAGCCCACTGTAGGTATTATTTGTATACTTGGATCCCAAGCCCAAGTATTCAAACGATAATTTATTGGGCTTGGGGTTGCCTGTGCGTGTGAAGAAATTCGAGTCCTGCTTTTGAGAGTCGACAATCGGCTGTACCATCAATATGTTCTTGGGCGCTTGAACTCTCAGACAGAAGCAGAAGCACGCTCTGAGTCTTAAATCCTCGACCTTAAACCCCTAGGTAGCGTGTAAGGCTTATATGAGCTATAGTCTAAACCCCTAGTATCCCCTGAATAGGCCCTATAGTAGTCCCCTATATGATCCCCTAAAGCCTCAGCCCAAAATCTCCCCAAGGCTCGCCCCGGAATCAGGTCATTTGGTGCCAGGAGGAGCCAAAGAATATGGGCGCCTGGTCGTACGTGGGCCCTGCCTGTCTTCTTCACAGTCTGTCCTCCTGAGTCGTATAGTGATTAGGGTAGTAGTTGGAATCGTGAACTTGAGACTCCCATACTTGCGGGTTGTTTGCCCCTGGTGTCCCAGAATGTTTGTCCTCAGATTTGTTCTGTTCAGTGAGGACTGCGTTTTGTCCTGGCTTTGGGCGTCTGGAGTTGACTGACCCTGACTCTGTTAGGGACCAAGAGAGAGAGGGGTAAACTCGTGTTGAGGTAAGGCTTGCACGTATTACGTATGTTTCAGATTGATGGCTATGTGCGAAAGGAGTGTTTCCCCTTGCTCTCCCAGAAATACAGTAACTCTTCTTCCATGGACTCCGAAAACATTCCGGTAATTTCTTGGAGCTGCCCAATAGCTCAACCAGTTCTTTGCGCCAAGGGCTGCTGCATTGGGCCTTGAAGTCTATACTTTAGGAGGACCCACCCACCCTGTAATAGTGGTATAGTCGAAAATATAAGAGGACCCAAATATCATCACTTCATCCATTATGGTCACTATTACAGGGTGGGCCCAAACTTCGATACCTAGACCCTTCACCTTTGCAATTCTAAAATTCAGGAGCCCTGAGCTTTCAAAACTGCAGGCTTCTTCTAGCCCACGGAACCTTCCAAGTCCTATGCCGGAACGCTCTGAAGTGCCGAACCCCAATTTAGGGGCCCACCGAAACTATGAGCAACCGCCAATCACGGAACATCAAATGGAAAATCGACAATGACATGGAACTGCAGCTAAAAGCGGTGTATAGAGTCGGCACTGTAGGGGGGCCTAAGTGAATGAGAATATTTTGGCCCTAGCCTAGGTTAATCCTCAAAATCAAATTAGTAGTCACTTAGGCGTCTACATGAGACCTTAAGCCCAAATCTTTGCCAGGTGCGCCCACGTTTCGTGACGACAGCGCGCGAGGGCTTGGACGTGGACATGGTCATGCGCCGGGATCCCAGAGTAAGCAGGTACTGCAGGGGTCAGTCTATGCATAGAGTAGGGTTTTCAACACTTCAATAATGTAATCAAACAAGGGCTAAGGAGGGATAACGCTGCTGAAGATCCATGTCATTGATTTGTGACAGTCCTTAACTTAAGCTACAAATGCTATTAATACGATTCATGCTATTAAGTCGATTAATATCATCAATACTACTATTATCATTAGTATTACTACCAGTAAGGTTTACGATTCCTAGAGCTTAGAGTTCAGAATTTAAGGTTTTAGCACTTTAGGATTTGGGGTTTAGGGTTCAGGAATTGGTAGGGTTCAGGGTTTAAGGTTGTTCACATGTAGTTACCTCCAAATGACACCCCAATCCCGGAGGTTACGTCGGCCGACGTGCGGCCGCCTCGCCGGCCACGGGATACCCGAAGCTGCACAACGCCGAGCAGGAAGCGTTGGTGAAGGCCGGGTTACATCAGTTTTTGTTTCGAGCGACGGTATGTTTTAGGACCTTATGTGGAGGTACATGGGTACTTCCTGTTCTACCCTACTCACAAGTGCATGTATAGTCCAAATATGAGTCCCCTAAATCCCCTATGTTGGTCAAGTTTGGGTCAGGCTATAAGTACCCATGGACATTCAGAGCAGGAATGTTGTTTGGACAAGTGGAGATTCTTCCAAGCCTCTTTTGAATTCTAGAGGCTTGCTTTCATGAAGATCCCAAACAGGTAATATAGATTCGGTTTGAGGGAGTGCTTCCGAGCTGTCCTGATCAAGTAACGCGCATGTCTTTTGCCAAAACTGGCAAAACTGGTGCGCTCAGAAGTGAGTGAACCATGACCACATGTTTGAGGCTTCTGCTTGGCTGTTTAGCTTGAAGCTAGCTTTCTCAACGCGTGTCCTCATGTTTGAACGTTGAAGCTGGGCTCTACTCTGGCAACACTCAAGGGGTCATGCCATAAACCCACAAGCACTAAAGCTTGAACTCGAAGGCTTGAGACCTACATGAATTTCTGAACTCTGCACCCTACACTGCGCACCCTAAACCCTAACCGCCACACACTAAACCCTAGATCCGTGCAGCAAGCCCTTAGCCTGAGCCTTGCTTTACAGAAGCTCAAGCCTTCAGCCGCCGAACAACAAGCTCCTGAGGTATCCTGAGGTTCAGGGCTTCACAAGCGTAGGCTTGAACATATGTCATCTTTTTACTGTTACCCTTCATCCTATATGTAACCCCCAAACTTACCCTAGTGAGTGTCTGGGGTCGATGGTCAGAGTTTCAGTAACAAGGTGTGGGAATCAGGACTCTTAATAAAAGGGCTGTAGTTACCCCAGGCCCTATAATAGCAAGGACCGTATAGTTATGAACCGTATCATTGTGATATGACTGTAATAGGGTCGTGCTTTTAGGGCTGGGTAACAAAAATCCCCCGATCACCTCTGACTCGCAACCCAAAGCCCGAAAAGTGGAGCTCAAAATCGTAACGTCCCTGCTCCCCCTGGCACCTCCCTCTGCTGCTACTGCTCCTACCAGGGAGTTGCTGAACATGAGGACCCCTTCTGCCCAACATCACTTTGTCCTCTTCACAAAGAATCCTAGAAGGGACCCGCCATTGAGCCCTCCCACCTGTTACCTTCAAAGCTTTTCATAGGCTCCCAGGAGTCTTGATATTCGACGTGGTCTCCCTAATGATGGCTGCGTTGCTGTTAAATTGGAAATACATTGGAAATTGTTTGGGGGGGTTGATTGTTAGGGAGGGAGAATGACAAAAAGCAAGAACGCAGAAACACAAACCCAGACTCCTTAACCCAAGACCCCAAAACCCTGAACCCTAAGCCCAAAGCTCTTAACCTCAAGACCTGAACTGTAGTAATTTAAGCCATGAACCTGAAGGCTTAAACTAAAACTAAAACCCCAAGGGTTTAGGGTTTAGGGTTTAGGGTTTAACTCCGAACCCTAAATAAACCCTACTTTCATGGCAACAGGGACTTAGTAAGCAGGTCAATAACCCGTAATAGCCAATGTAATAACCTAGTTATCCTAATTATTAACCTACTTACTGAGTCCTCATGGCCCTAAATCCTACGTAAACCCTAACCCTAAATCCTAAACCATACATTCTTAACTTTTAATATCTAGCCTCGGCTCATGTAGGGGTTTTCTAAAAATGGGGTTGACTTTTTGGGTGTCCCCATAGTAAGGGCTATAGTATTGGGAGTCTATTTTGGGGTCCCTCTATTTTTGGGGAAGTTGCTACCCTTATAGTCCCCCTTAAGTAGATAGAATATGGCTTTGGGTATATTATAGTAAGATCTCCATATACCCCATATTCTATCTACTTAAGGGGGATTATAAACCATAAGCCCTCAACTCTAACCCGCAAAGCCTAACCTCTGAACCCGAAGCCCCAAACCTCGGACAGGAGGCTTTGGTCGGTCATGATGATGAGGGCTGGACTGCTCCTGGACTCAATGGGCCCAGGGTGAGCTCTTTTAGGGGTTTAGGGTTTTTAGGGTTCTATGGAGTCAGGGTTTAGGGTTTCAGTGGTTTAGGATTTCGTGACTAAGGCCCTTGCCCCTTAACTTTTTCCAGCGTTTGAGGGTGTAGAGATTGAGGGTTTAGGGTATAGTGGTATTTGTGTTGGGGGTCCCAGTCTACGAGGTTCTAGATAGATCCCGGCCTCAGGGTTAAGGTTTAGGGTGCAGGGTTTAGGGTTTAGGGTTTACGGTGTAGAGTTTGGGGTTTAATAGGGTTCAACCTGGATTTTCGAGGTCGGCGTTGAAGGGTTGGAGCGAAGGTGACTGGATGGATTACTCTCCCAGAAACTAACATGGAAACCCCAAAAGGGCATAGTGAACACTGCAGTCCCGACAAAGGGGGGCTATATGGGTTTCCATGCCAGTTTGGGGGAGTGTATTTTTTAAAGAATGAAGTTCTGAGTTTGGCTACAGGGGCTTGAGGTTGGGGCTTAAACCTTAGGTTGGTTTATGGTTTGGGTTTCAGGGCTCTTGGATTTGAGGTTCACCGTGGGTCCATCTTGCTTATCATGACGGCTCCTAAGGTGATTCTATTGAGACAACATTAACTTCTTCTAAACCCTAGGGTTTAGGGTTTAGGGTTTAGGGCCCTGTCTTCCCCAGAGGGTCCATGTACCCAGAAATTAGGTACTTGGGATTTGGGTAATAGTAATTATAGTACAGGTTATGGGTAGGTATATGACTATTAGGTACTTGGACCCTTAGGGTTCTAAACCCTGAACCCTTAACGCTAGCAGTATTGTCTAAGAAAGTGCGGTACACGCTTGAGTTAGTACCGAATCTGCCCTGGGGAAGGGCCACCAGCTATGTGTGCCATGCTTCCATGTACCACCAGGGTTCCCGGATATGACCAGACGTACGTAAATTATGTTTCTTTGCTGTCTTGTTTGTTGTTGCGCAAGTAACCAGACCACCTTAGACGTCGCAATCTTGTCTTTCCTGTGATTGGTACGGCAGATGAGGCTGCCTGAAGGATGCAGCCATGTATCGCATGCTGTTTCTGATTGATATCATCACACCTGGACACGCAGTAAATGAGGAACAAAGTGCTGTTAGTTTAATTAGTAGTGCCGCCAGTTTAGAGATAGCGCGCTTTGCAATGTGACCTTCTGAGATACTGTAGCATTGATGCCAAGACATGTGTAGTGCTTGAGCCATGTTGAAAACTCACTGTCATAGATGTCAGCGCAGCTCGCATCAGGATCGCGGGGTCTTGTTCAGAATCACATGAAGGGTCAATTTCTGCAACTTTAAAAAGAAACCGACCCTAAATTGCAAAGCCTAAGCAGTAAGCAGCAAACCTAGAATCCGCAGCCAAAAGCTACAAACCATGCAGACGGTTTGTTGGAACCAGATTCGCAGGGTTTAGGGTTTACCAAATCTGTAAGCTTAAAACCCTGGCCCCCGGGCCACGAAGTTGCCTTCCCCTGGACTTGCAGTAATCCTTCTTGGCTATTCTTTGCGTTGGGGCCGTGTTAGTTCGAATCCCCATTTAATGTTCTGAAAGCCTAGACTTTGAACCCCCGCACCAAACCCCAAATTCGCCCCAAACCCCGCCCCGGATACCTGCCTGGAGTTTAGGGTTTAAGGTTTAGGGTCCATTGCAGTTTAGGGTGCATTGTATTGTGCCTGAAGAGTAGGAGGAGGAGGAGTAGTAGTAGTAGTTGGTGGTGGTGGTGGTGGTGGTGGCGGCGGTGGTAGGAGGATAACACATGCGGAAACCTAATGCACGCTGAGCTAGGCCCCCACACTACGGTAACTCCGGTGGATACTAAAAAGCCTGCATGACCCTCAGCACCCAGAAACTTGTGAGTTATGATTGGGTATATCAAGGTCACGCATGACATTTAGTATCAACAGTAACCCTGCGAACCCTTGTATACCTGTAGCTTTCCATTTCATTGTCCATGTTCTTTTCCATTTGCTTCTCAAGTGTTGGGGGGAAACCCCTAAATCCTAATCCCTAAATACCAAACCCTAAGTCCCCTCTATACTGGTCAAACCCTAAAACCTAAACCCTAAATCCCAAACCCTAAACCCCCAACCTTAAACCCTAAATCCCAACCCTTAACCTCATGAGGTCCAGCGCCCGCACTCGCTTCTGGGCCATCAGACCTGAGAACTCCCTTCGCCAGATTCGTACCGGTAGGGGCCCCTTTGTCACGGTTTGGCGTTTAGGGTTTAGGGTTTATGGGGTTTAGGGTTTGGGGTTTACGGTTAGGGTTTATAAGGTTTGTTGGTTGAGGGTTTGGGGTTTGGGGTTTAGGGCCTAGAGTTTGGGCAGTGAGGCAGGAGTGATATGTAGCCACAGTTCCGTGTTTGGGATTGCAGTGTTTCATAGTGATCCCCGAAAAGGAATTTCTAATTTAGGGACACCCCCCATGTGGAGCTTCGAGCTGTGTTACTTAGCTTGCAGAAGTCAGGGGCCTCTCCTAGCTGAGTGTATGCATGCGCTGCCCTCGCACGTGGAATTCAAAATGCTTTGGTATGGAGGCCTGAAAAATCGGGTAGTTTCCTAAATAGGGGGACCCCAATCTACTGCAATCCAAACCACAGGTACCCCTAATTTTGGGAACCCCCCATACTAAGATTCCCAATGCGGCTTACATTCCCTAAGCAAGGGGCTGCGGTGGTTGTAGTCGCCGTCGCCTGTCCAGTCATGTGATTCGAGCACTGCTTTGCACTCTACCGTCCTATAGCGGATGTTCTCAAACTTATGCCCTATACATCGCCTAATAGGGCCCCCTAGTAGCCTTGTAGGTCCACATAGAATCCCGCACATCCCTAGGTGCCTAATGGCCCCCTACTTTGAGAAAGTCATATACAGGGAGTTTTCTTAGACCCCTGGGGGGCTCTGCGGCTGTGTAGGGATGAAGCGTGGGTTGTTGGCTGGTGGACGAAACAGATGGTTGCGTAAAACCCTGTC